TTTTCAAAAGTTGAACTCCCCTTCCAGAATTAGTACCCTCATGAATGGTTTAAAAGACAATCGACTGGGCTTTTTTTTTTTTTTTTTTTTTTTTTTACCTATTTTACAAGTCTATTCCAAATACATGAATAGCCATCTGGGTCCAGTAGCTGCTGTGCCCATGTCCACCGCAGAACCACACTCAGTGACAAACCACAAGCTTAAGGATATCGGGATCCAGTTTAGCTACTTGCCCTGGGGGAAGAGAGAAATGAGTCCTCTCTACACTGTAAAGGAGTGCCATCTTAGCCCCAGCAGGTGGAGGAGGAATGTACAATTATGTGCTGGGCTGTGTGTAGCCAGTGTGCCCTGGTCTAGCCATCTGGCTTGATTAATCATCTCTGTGCTGAACTAGTTTGTACGTATGTACGTATTTTGAATATCATCCTTGCTTGTAGGCATGGAAATACGAAAATCCACAGACACCCCAAACACCAAAAGCATACATGCATGTACAATTTTATCATTATACCAAGATACATATGCAGTTATATTCTTTTTTTTAAGTATTTTTCTAGTTGTAGATGGACACAATATCTTTATTTATTTATTTTTATGTGGTGCTGAGGATTAAACCCAGTGCCTCAAACTTACGAGGCAGGCTCTCTACCACTGAGCTACAGTCCCAGCCCCTGCAGTTATATTCTTTAAGTTTAAAAGTAGAAACAACATGAACTTGGAAAGCATGAACTGAACTGATGTATGGAGTGACGAAACCTTAGGGAAGGCTCTATCTGCTCCAAGTCTTCTCTTGGCCTCTCTCTTAGTCTTTCTTTCTTTTTAATTCATTTATTTGTATGTGGTGCTGAGAATCAACCCAGTGCCTCACACATGCTAGGTAAGTGCTCTACCTCTGGGCCACAGCCTCAGCTCCTCTCTCTTAGTCTTGATGTCTTCAATTCTTTTCAGGTATCACAAGTGACAACGGAAGGGAATAAAGGGGACACAGGCACACTCAGTGTCAAACAAACAGGCCCCCCAAAGCAGGAATACAATGCAGTCTCATTTTCCAGATTGTGAAGTGTGCATATTGAGAAAGCTTAAAAAAAAAAAAAAACATACTTTAGCAAGGATTGGCAAAATTGTTCTATAAAAGCTCAGATAATTATTTAGGTTTTTTTTTTTTTTTTTTTTTTTGGAGGGGGGACATGTGGTCTCTTTTAAAAAATTCAACTCTACTGTTATAGCACAAAAGTATCCAATAATTAGTAGGCAATTATAAGCAAATAAACATGGTTCTGTTGTAATAAAACTTTATTAACAAGGAAAGGTGACCAAGGAGTTTCATTTACAGACTCCTGTAAGCAGAGTGTAAGAACCTAGAAGCCATCAGGTCTGGCTTCACAGCTTTCAGGGGTTGACAGGGGCTCCATTCTGTTTCCTCCAGAAAAGGTAAAAATCAAATTCTCTTCGTCGTGGCATTAGTTTTGTTTTATTGTTTCTGTGCTCTGGTGTTTTGATGTGGTGGTGAAGTGATGCAGTACTGGGCTTGAACCCAGGGGCACTTGACCACTGTTACATCCACACCCCTTTTTACTTTTTATTTTCAGACAGAGTCTTGCTAAGTTGCCTGGGCTGACCTCAAACTTGTGGTCCTCCTGCCTCAGTTTCCCCAGTCACTGGGATTACAAGTGTGCCCCACTGCACCTGACTGCTTCTTCCCTCTTTCTGTGTGTGTATCTCTAAATGTTTCCATTTTTCTTCTGTCCTCTTGCACTCAAGCCATGAAAGTGTCCAGACTCTTTCATGTTAATAATTCTCCTCCTCCTTCTTTCTCTTCTTCTTCATCCCTCCCTCTCCTCTTTTTCTTCCTTTGTGCTGGAGATTGAACCCAGGGGTGCTTAACCACTGAGCCACATCCCCAGCCTATTTTATATTTTATTCAAAGACAGGGTCTCAGGAAGTGGCTTGGGGTCATGCTAAATGTTGAGGCTGGCTTTGAACTTAGATCTTCCTGCCTCAGCCTCCTGAACCGCTGGGATTACAGGTGTACACCACAGCACCTAGCTTCACATTCATTCTTGATAACTACTTTCCAGGTCCCTCATCAGTTCTGGGGTAAGAAGTGATGTGCAGTAATGAAAAGATCACTTGTCTGGGTGGGTCACTGGGCAGAACAAGCCAGCAGTCTGCTGCGTATCTTTGGGAAAATTACCTAAGCTCTCCAAGCCACCCTTTCCTTATCTAATAAATGAGTGAGTTAACTAACTGGCCCCTGAAATCCCTTCCAGCTATGAGTTTGTGATTTTAGGAAGCTACAGCATCAACTCTGTGCAACTGTCTGGGGCCATTAATTAAGATGTCACTCACAGACCTTAAGGAAACTGCCAGGAGGCCACAGAAATCCGCTCCGTGATCTGTAACTAGCAACCTTCCTAAGGCCTTCACAGATGAGGGGCAGAGGGTGCGTGTGAACTCAGAGGACGTGAGAGCCCAGCACACTAAGGGGAGAGGAGGAAGATAATCCAGGGAAACCAATTTACATTCTAGGCTGTCATTGTACAGCTACAAAATGCACACAAATATTGACTTAGCTGGAAACAAGATCCCAGGGAGCTACTATTGGAAAGTGGGACACCTTCTCCATCAGATCCTTCATGTGGGGCTTTTCTGGCCATGCAAAGGATACCCTTCAAAGCCCTTCAGATAAATATATGAATAGGTTTGGAGGAAATGGGGCCTTGAGGAGCTAATAAAATAAACTACCAGATCCCAGCATGTGTCAAAGGAAAGCAGTCTCCTATGAGCAGGGGTGAGGGAGGCCAGGGAAGGTAGGAGAATGAGGTTGGCTGGTGCAGAGGCTGGCACTGGTTGGCTTATGATGAGCAGGGGCCTGGAGCTCTGTCCTCCCTCCTAGACACAGTCTTGAGGGTGGGGAGGGAATGGAGGAATCCACACCCTGGCCTCCAGAAGAGCAGGCTTTTATTGCCTGACTCTGCTAAAGTTGTCTCACTTGTAGTCTAAATAATTAACTTACATATCCCTAAAGGAGCATTCAGAGAAAAACAAAACCCACCCCTGCCCTCAAGTTCAGGTTTCCATTGCACCCAGGGCAGGCCAGGAGGCTGAGAAGCCATCCCAAGCTGCAGACATGGCCTGACTTCAGAGGTTCACTGGGATTAGTAACCTTCTAAAAAAGGCCAAGAGTTGTTTTTTTTGTATTTGAGCTAATGTTTTTTGCAATTTTGAAAGTTTTTTCTTTTTTTTTTAAATCAAACAACGAAAACAAAGAATGTGCAACAGAGACTTCTCTGGTCTGCAAAGCCTAAAATATTTACTGTCTAGCTCTTTCCAGGAATAGTATGTCATCCTCTTACTCCCTCCTCCAGGTCCTTTCTCAGCCTTGAAGGAGGTAAGGACGGCTTTGATCAGCTCCCTGATAACCCCACCCGAGAGCCCCCTGTATGCAGAGATTATAGTTGTCAGAGCACTGATATTTACAGTCCAGCGAGAAGCTGGCACTATTGTTCACCCCATTAACAAAAAAGAAAGAAAAAGAAAAAATACACTAGGGTGGGGTGAGGGACACATCAGTCTTGGTTCTACTGTATAAAGAGGTAGGCAGAGAGGGAGGAACTGAGACTAGTCCCAAATCATCTTATTTGCCTTCTTGAGGATCAGAAAGTGGCATCATCCCAGTTGGTTTCTGAAGACACCCTACCCACTAAAGCCCTGGTGATCCCCACCGTCACAGAGGCTGCATCCAAGCTATCATATGGTGCCAGCTGACCCTCAGCCCTAGACAAAGGCTCCAGCCTACCACCTCAGCAGGTAACTTTGAAGGGACAGGACTTTGGCCAGCCCTACACTCCTCCCAGACTTTCTCCTAGAACTGGAACCTCTGAGAGTGTCAGAGGCTAAAGACCACAAAAGAGACAGGTCAGAGCAGGCAATGGGGATGCCAACCAAGCGCCCCCACTGCAAGTGGGCTGAGTGACCTCTGTGTTATCATGGAACCTATTTGGAATTTGGGGGACTTAGGGCAGAGTGGAGACAAAGTGACTCTACATCCCGGAGTGTGAAGATTCTGGGTTATTGCAGATAGGAGAACAGTAAACTTGGTCAAAGTGTCTAGCATGTTCCAAGAAAAATGTTGCTACTGTCCAGCCAATGCTTTACAGGGTCAGGCGCTGAGATCAAAGTAACAAGGAAGGTCCAGGTTGGAATCCCAATGTCCACACTAGTGAAAGGCTGCAGTCTTAGAGATTTGAGAGACCAGGCTGTGAGCTCATGGGATAATCATCTCAATCTCAGAACTCTGGGGCTCAGTTTCTTCCTCTCTCTCTCTCTCTCTCTCTCTCTCTCTCTCTCTCTCTCTCTCATGCTGGGGAATCAAACCCAGACCTCACATATGCTAGGCAAGTACTCTACCATTGAGTTACACCCACAGCTCTTTTTATTTTGAGACAGGGTCTTGCTAAATTTCCCAGGCTGTCCTGCCTCAGCCCCAGAGTTGCTGGGATTATAGGTGTGCGCCACCACATCCAGCTTTCTTATCTGTTACAATAAGGAAATGAACAGAAACCTGAGGTGCTTGGATGAGGCTGATTCTAAGGATCTGTGCATTCCATACCCAACAAACAGCTCAAACATGCCATGACTCCACAGATGCTTTGCTGCAAAGTTGTCACGATCGTTGCTTTCCTTCCCCAATCCCATCCAAATGAGAGACCACTGGCCTGGCATAAGGGAGAATGCTTTCCTTCAACTTGTTAGCAGTTTACCAGGGAACCAGGATGGATGGAAAGGTGCTGATGAGTGTGAATTCTCATCTTTGTGCCTTGTGACCAGAGAGTACCCAAAGAGTTTCGAAAATTTCATCCCCAAACTCCTACCATGCCCACAGCAGGTGGTTCAGAAGTCATGGTGCCATAGACTTTCAATGACTTAAATTATCTGTCTTCAATTCCCCAACTCAACTGGATATTCCTTAAGGGTAGGAATTGTGTCTTGACCTTCTTTGTCTCTAGCAGAGCACAGTCTTCTAGATATGCGGTTGGAGATCCATCCATATCTGCTTAGCGACTTGATTAAAATCAAGAGAGGTAATGCTGAATTTGACATGGAGCGTGAGTCCAGGTGAGTGAATCTCTAAATTTGCTGGGTGATGACTGGATGCCATTCTTCAGTCCAAGGCTCAAGCAAGCTTCTCCTGTCCAGGCTGTGATCCCTAAGAGCTATCGTGTGACCTAGACAGCAAACAATAGAGGAAGGTTAGAGAAGACAAGGTGGATGCATCCCAGTGTGCCAGAGACTCTCCAGGATATGCAGGTCACATTGCTGCTGGTCCCTTGCTCCTGAAGCAGTCCAGGCTGGGAAAGTGGCCAGGTGGACCATGCAAACATAAATCAGGCACACTTTACCCACTATTTGCTTCCAGGTCACTGTACAAATTGCAAGCACAGTGTAGGCTTTATGGGCTACAAACCTAAACATATAATGTGGCGACAAATGTCACAAGCTCTGTGGTGGGTCTCACTCTCAGCTAGGCTTAGGTATATTCAGAATGGCTGTCTCCTTTGTCTGCCTACAGATAAGATGCTCTATATCTAGTCAAAATCCCTGCTCCATTTGTTCTGTGCTCTGGGAAAATGGTTGCTTTCTTCAAAACCGTAGAGGCTGCCTTTCCTTCTCTTCTTGTTTGTTTGCCTGTTTGATGTGTGTGGTGATGGGCACGGAATGTAGAAGGCAGTGCCTTGGCTGGCCCCGCAGTGTCACTCATCTGTACAAATGGTGATGACAAAGAGATGCAACTAATTAACCATGACACGCATGGAATTGCTAACAACTTTGATAAAATTTTAATTACCCCTTGTTTCATGGGGCAGGCAACAAACCATGAAAATAATAATCCTCTTGGGTGCTGTCACAGCAGACAGAGCAATTTGACTAGAGGAAGGGAGGTGTGAGCTGTAAGGAGTTTAGAATTGTGGGAATGGGGGGACAGTCCATGGAGAAGTGGTGGGCAGAGTGGCTACCATACCTAGAATTCAGGTAGGAGGAGAGACTCCTCCCTGAATTATCTAGATAGCTTCCCCAATTCCCCACTTTGTTTGTATAGACCTGATGTTTTCCAGAAGCAAACTCACTGCAGGCAAAGAAGAGAAACCAAGGCACATGGACTATCAAAAAATCTGCCAGAAAGACACTCCTGGATTTCTGATCCAGAGCCCTAACACCAGTCCCCAGAGTCCGACCTGGAAGGACCACCTGGGGATGCAGTGAGTAGCTCACTGCTCACAGATACCACCTTGGGTCATGCCATCCTAGATCCCCAGGGCTCCTGTGCCCCCTTGGCTGCCCCAGGCGAAGGGGGAAGAAGAGGAGTAGAATGAGGTGTCCACCTGGATACCTTAGTGGTTTTGACTTTGTGTCCACTGCTGCAGCTCCATCCCGACAGGTCCGGGAGCACCTTACACTCCTCCCCTGGCAGGCAGGGCTCCATCTGACACCACCACCTCTGCAGGACGATGGAGGCTGTTGGGGCAGGAGGCAGGAGTGCAGCTCTAAGCTCTCTGCGAGCACAGCCGGCAGTCAAGAGGGGGGTCTGCGAATGAGGTACACATTTCCACACACCCCTGGCATGGAGTCCCGTGTTTCCCTTGTCTTCCGCCCTACTCTGGGCTGCCCAGAGAGGCAGAACTGTTGAGGCCTGGGGACATACCCCTACCAACTTTAATCCTACGGGTCCCAGCATCTCACCAAAGACATTGAGGGGGAATGGAGGCAGGTGAAGTTGCCTCTGAGGCCACCATGTCATTGTCACAGAGGCACCAATCTTCAGCTTGGTGTGTGTGAGCAACTATGCACCAGGTGCAGAGGTCCACAGACCAGGAGGGCACAAGCTGGCATGCATGTGATCACAGTGGGCGTGGTTACTTGGATGCCACTTAAGGGTGAGGACAGAAGCCAGAGTGGGTAGGTGGGAAAGGGTGATGTGAAGGAACACACGTGTCCCCGTAAAGGCAGGGTGGGGAACGAGAGTGCAGCACGTGGAAGAGGCTGGGGAGAGAGCAGCAGGTGAAGAGCCCACGTCCGAAAGGCTGTGTGTGGCAGAAAGCCTAAAAGTATGAGGGAACGTGTCTGTCGGTGTGGGCTGGGCAGTGAGGGCCAGCACACAACAAGAGCTTTCCTTGTCTATGACACAGAGATAGTCATATCTGCCCTCCTGTCCCCCAGAGAGTGCCCCATCATTTGAGACTCTGATCATGAAAGCCCTGAGATGGGGATGAAATTGGATCCCCGGCAGATGGCAAGGCCCAACCAGACCTCCTTATCTCTCTGCTCAGAGTCCCCCTGACCAGGGCCTGGCTTCTCACTCACCATCCACACAGGAGGGCTGTGCCCGCGTAGTGCCAGCCACCTGGCCGGAAAAGCAGGAGCATTTTACGGTCTGGGAGCGCTCCTCGATGCGGTTCCTGTTGCAGCAGCGGTGAGCAGCGATCACCTCACAGGTGCCCTGCTTTACAAGGACTGATGGGGCCAGCCACATCAGATCAGGTCCCCAACCCAGGCCTCCAGCCCTGCTCCCCTCCCACCCACCTGCTGGTCCTTGAGCCCCTTCTACCTGCTAGGGAGAAGGCCTTTCCTTCCTTCCTTTCTTGTTTGTGTGTGTTGGGCGGGAAGTACTAGGGATAGAACCCAGAAATCCTCTACCACTGAGCCGCACCCCCAGCCCTTTATATTTTATTGGGAGACGGGGTCTCGCTAAGTTGCTGAGGCTGGCTTCAACTTGCCTCAGCCTCAGAAGTCACTGGGATTACAGGTGTGCACCACTACACTGGCTGGGGGAAGGCTATTTAAGAGATTTCCAGGGCTGTGGTTTTAGCTCACTGATGGACCACGTGGCCAGCAGCATCAAGTCCTGGGTTCGATCCCCAGCATCACACACAGAAAAATCCAATGGCAGGGGAGAAAGAAGCAGATGAAATCTTCCTGTTCCTCCCCAGTGAAGTCGCACTCATCACCCTTTGGCAGACCCTGGGTCTGAGCAGAAGAAAGCTGAAGTCCCGCACCAGGTCCCACCCCCACCTCCCTGCTTTCTCAGGGTGAGGGCAAGGGCCCCAGGGCTTACAGTGCGTGGGAAGGATCATCCGCTTATATAGGCTTTAGCCATCCCAGAAGGAAAACCCCAGAATTAGGCCAGGAGGCTAGACTTAAGCCCCCACCCGAGGGCCTCTCTCCCTGCAGAACACCTTCTGGCCTGGAAGGGACAGAGAACAGTGGGTCTGCCCAGGCATCCTCCTGGCGGGGATAGCAGAAGGGAGCAGTTGCCTGGGTGATGAACAGATGAGGAGCCAGAACCTGAAATCTATGGATTTTACTTTGCCTCTGAGATCTGCTTGCTGTGTGGAACAGGGTGGGGTGTTATCCAGTTTTCCAGGTGTGCTGGAAAACCTCCTTCCCAGTCCCTGCCGCCTCCCCCTAACCTGTGGCAGTTGGAGGCTGCGAGGAAGCAGAGGCCAGGAGGGTCCACAGCCACGTCAGGCACAGTGCCAGCAGCCAGTGGCCTGCGTTCCAGTTCTGCACGGCCCTTTCACTCATCCTGTGGAGGGAAGGGCACACCTCGCACAGCTCCAGGCAGGAGGGGCTCTCCTAGTGCCCAGCCCCAGTCGCTTCTCTGTGCTATGCCCTCTGGGAGCCAAGGGTGGGTAAGATGCTCACCTTGTCCCCAGGCAGCTCGCAGCCTGGCACAAAGTCACTGTAGGAAGCGATGGATGCCACAGAGAACAGGGGAGCAGGAAGGGAGGACCTGAGGAGGAAGTGACATTTAAAAGGGGTCTTAGAGCCGGGCACGGTGGCACACACCTGTAATCCCAGAGGCTTGCGAGTCTGAGGCAAGAGGATCCAGAGTTCAGAGCCAGCCTCAGCAAAAAGTGAGGTGCTAAGCAACTCAGTAAGACCCTGTTTCTAAATAAAAAAAAAATAGGGCTGGGAATGTGGCTCAGTGGTCTAGTGCCCCTGAGTTCAATCCCTGGTATCCCCCCAAATTTAAAAAGGGGGGGGGGCTGTGGTGTAGGAGGAACAATCATGCTAACTCCCCCCACCCTTTTTTTGAGTTCTTAACCCAGGCATACTCTTGAATCCTTCATGACTATTCCACAAAGTAGGATAGTTATTACCTATTTTATAGATGAGCAAACGGAAACTCAAAAAGTCTGGACACAACCCAAACAGCCACCAGTGAAGGACTGGCTAAATGCATTGAAGAGAAATCTGTACCAGGGCAGTCTCTTCCACACAGCTGTGGAAACACAATGGAAAATGCTTTATATAATGATGCATGCAGTGATCTCCAATGATAATCCACTGTTAAGCGGGGGCAGCAACATGTGGGACGATGTGTATAAAATGTGTAAAAGAGAGGGATTATTTATGCTGCTTGAATAGGCATAAACTAGCTCTGGAGCCACATGTGGTGGTCTGTACCTGTAAATCTCAGCAACTCTGGAGGCTGAGGCAGGATTGCAAGTTGGAGGTCAGCCAGGGCAACTCAGTGAGAGCTTGTCTCAAAATACAATAAAAAGGGCATGCACTTCGGAGGCCACATAAGTCTGGCTGAAGATTCCTTAAACGGTGTGTCCTGCAGTGTCCTGTTAGTAGGTTCTATACCAGGCTCCGCATGTCATTGGTATAGGGTCCATATTTTAATACTGTTCCTAACATTTAATTTAATAGCAAGATGTCTTTGACTTGATTTTATTCTTTGTAATTCTAGAAACGAGATTGTAGTTTAGCCATTACTGATATTTTTTAAAAAGGGATATGATTTCTTGCACAGCCGTTCAAAAGAGAAACAAGCAAGCTTCGGTTCTCAATGTTGACCTTTCTTTTTCAGGTACAAGTTTTCTAGCTCAGACAACTGAGAAAAACTATAGACCATTCTTGAGGCACTGGGTACATGCTGTTTTTCTACATTGCAGGCAGATTGGTCTGTGATGGGTGGTGTGCAGGCAGATACAGGATCTGACAGCCTGGGATGTTCTGTACTAAAAGGTTACTTTGTATCAGAAAGTTTTAGTACAACAAAATAAAGGTCAATTTCAGGAAAAATAATTAAAAATAAAAAGGGCCAAGGAGGTAGCTGGCAATAGAGTAGCCCTGAGTTCAATCACTAATACTACACACACACATACACACACACACACCAAAAAAAAAAAAAAAAAAAACACCAAACCAAACCAAACCACACCAAACAAAAATGTCAAAAAATTAGCTATGGAAAAAACAGGAACAACATTGTTTGCCATTAAGAAGGAAAAGTGGTTGGCTGAGAAAGAAGATGACTTATTTTTCTACCAATTTCTTTTTTACTCCCTATTTATTTTTTCCTTTTTTGTACCGGGGATTGGACCCAGGGACACTTAACCACTGAGCCATATCCCCTGCCCCCCCCCCTTTATATTTATATATATTTGTTTGTTTGTTTATTTTGAGAAAGGGGCTTGCTAAATTGCTTAAGGCCTCCTTAATTTGCTGAGGATGACCTCAAACTTGTGTCTTCCTGCTTCAGGGAGTTGCTGGGATAACAGGTGTGCACCACCATACTAGGCTCTTCTTCATTTTTTGAGTGTCAAACCTGGGGAATGTAGTGGCCATTTAATTTAACCAATATTTAAATTTAAAAATGAAAAGAAGGCTAATGGAAGTCAGATGATTTGCCAAGGTCAGGCAGCATGGGGGTGGCAGGGGCCAGAACCCAGCAATCTTCCTTATGCCCACCCACCACCTTGCTTCTGACCCAAACTCTCTTCCCCTTTCCTTATCCTCCTCCATCCTTGGTGGTTCAGACTTCCAAATCTGTTCCAGAGAGTGGGCTAGAAATGGAGGGAATCCCATCTGGGAAGTATTGGTACACAATGGCTGGGAGCTGCCCAGCCACAGATGGGGGCAAAAGCAATCTCAGGAGGCATCAGGGTCTCAAGCTCAGGGATAGACCTGGGTTACTGCCTCTGTTGTTCAGCGAGCCCTTGGGTCACTGCTGACCTCCCTCAAGTGCCAGCACAATTCTGAGAGTATCAAGGATCAACCAAATGCCAGGACCCAGCTGCTCTCTTGGAATAAAATGCCCCATCTCTGCCCATCCCTCACACTTCAAATCTTCAACTGTTTCTTCACTTACCTTTTGTTGGGATCTTTCAGATTCAGTCTGCTCATCTGCTGGTCTCAGACTCACTCCACCTGGACAGGTAGGAAAGATTTCAGTGAGTTATGATGTCCAGAGGGAGCCACGGGCCCTGGTCTGGTAGGGTAAAGGAAGGCTTGGGAGAAGGCAAGGGGGTGGGCTGGCCGGAGTCCGGTTCTGAAGCTGTTCTAGGCAGGGGCAGAGTCTCTTCCTCTGGCTTGGGAATAGCCCTTACAGAGTCAGGATGAGCCTGGGACCAGTGGCCAGGGAGCTTCAATGTCACAGGAGTAGAAGCAGCGGTGGGAGGGGTCTAAGAATCAGCACTGTCATCTCTCTGATCTTGGGACAGAGCTGAGGATCAGGGGAGGGTTCTAAGCAGAATCTGCCAGATAGATTCCTGCTGGGAGAGACCTCTGGGGAGGATTCCTGAGCCCTGAATCCTGTTTGCCTCTACCACCAATGTCCCATGGCATTTGCTTCCTGGACTTACTTACAGCTGGCTCAATTCTGCCACTGTTACCCTCTTTCTCACCCCACAGAGCCAGAATGGGGGTGCAGCAGGTCTCTGAACTGCAGGCCACAGCTCCCCAACACTTTCTCCTAAGTACTCCTCCTTTTTCAGCCTCCTAAGGAGGCAGAAGTAAAACACAGGATGGTGAGGCCCGGGAAGGAAGAGAACCCTGCCTCCTAGCTCCCAGCAACAAGGGTCCTACAAAGGGGAATGAAGGTGTTCAGAGGAAGTGATGGCAATACCCTGGGGATAGGTATGCTCCCACCTGTCTGGATGTATCTCTTTCCTGAATAGGTCTCTCCTCTCTCTGCCCCTATCAGGAAACCTCATCTCGACTATTAGAAATGCAGCTTCTCCCAGGTGAGGGGTGCTGGGGATTGAACCCAGGGCCTCAGGAATGCTAGACAAGGGCTCTACTACTGAGCTACATGCTCAGCCTGTCTCAGGTGATCTTGTTTCTGAGCTTCCAGACCCTCCAATCCCACTCACCTGGTCTCTCTTATGAACCGCAAGACTCAAAAGACCTGGGGGAGGGGAGAGGATTGGGGCTAGAGGAAGCTGCAGAAAGCTTCTGGGAATTTTTCTTCAACTTCTATGCGCTACCTCAGTTTCCCAGCCTGTTTTCCCCTGCTCCAACCCATGCTGTAGTGAGACTGAGTGAGCAGCCTGCACACCAACAAGGAGTTGAAGACCACAAGAACCTCCAACCTTCCCCAACCTACCCTCACCCAACTCCAGTGTCCACTCAGTCCTCCAAAATTCTGAGAACTCTCACAGGGACCTACCTGCCCTACAGCGGTGCCCACTGTTCAACCTGCTGGCCTGAGGTCCGCGCTGCCTCTGAACCTGGGACCAAGACTCAGAAAGCAGACTACTGTCGGGTGCGGTCAGTTTGAATGCCGTCTAGTCCAGGGAGGGCTCTGTCTGCGTCCGTCACCAAGTTGCTGCGCCCCCAGGACTGCGGGGCTCTGGCCAAACCCGCATCACCGACGACGCGGCGGTGATGAGAGCCCTGGGCCTGGCTCCGATCGCCCTGCGGGGCTCAGTCGGATCCTCTCCGATCCTCCCGCCTGAAGGCCGGGGAGCGTGCTGCGGCCGCTGCAGCCTCGGCGCCGGTGCCGCCCCACTCCTCCAGCCCGGCACCAGCCGCCGCTTCCTTCGGGACAGCGCGGGGCGCTCGGCTGGGCTCGCGGGCGCAGCCGGCACGCAGCGGCCCCTGGCGGCTCAGGACAGGAGGAGGGAGGGGAGAACCACTGGCCCCTACGGATTCGGTCAGATGGGTAGCCCCGAGGAGGTCCTCCAAAACCTGCAGGTCTCCCGACGCCTGGTTCTGTGGCTCAGGGGAAGGAGGTGATGCTCGCAGGTGCAGGGCGGCGGCGGGGTGGGGGTGGCGGTGGGGCGCTGGAAGTGAGGAGTCATTGCCAGGACCTGCAGGGTGTCTTGAGCTTTGAAGATTCCAGAACTGCATTGTCCAGTTGGGTAGTCGCTAGCCGCATTTTATTTAAATTTAAATCTAAAACTCATTAAAACTTAGCACTCAAATGCTATTTAAAGTGTCCAGTAGCCACAAGAAACTAGGGACAAGTGTACTGGGCAGAGCAGATATAGAACGTTCCCATGGTTGCACAAAGTTGTTCCCTATCCTCCTACTAGGGCTTGATCAGGGGGCCCTCTACTAGAGTTACATCCCTGATCCTTTTTATTTTGAAAGGAGGTCTTTTTCTGAGGGGGATATATATGTGTATATATATGTATATGTGTGTATATGTATATATGTGTGTATATATGTATATGTATGTATGTGTGTATATATATATATATTTAATTTGTTTTTAGATATACGTGACAGTAGGGTGTATAGATGAGGGCTGGCCTCAATATTCACCATTAAACCCAGCTACAAAGTTATTTTCAGCAGTCCCCTCCTAGATTGATATCTGGAAGGCAATATTTCTACCCCAGAAATAGTATCCTTAGTGACAGGCAGGAGGGCTATAATAGGCTGGTGAATGGTCCCTATGGATGATGGGTGTGAGTCTCAACTTGGGAACCAAATTCTGGGACCCAGTGTCTGCATCAGAAAAAAACTGTAATATAATTTCCACTGTCAATTTATTTATTTATTTAGGTACTGGAGATTGGACCTAGGGGTGCTTTACCACTGAGATACATCCCCAGTCCTTTTTAAATTTGTTATTTTGAGACAGGGTCTCACTAAGTTGCTTAGGGCCTTGTTAAATAGCTGGGGCTGGCCTCCAACTTGCCATTCTCCTTCCAAGCCACTGGGATTACAGGCACGCACCACTATGCCTAGCAATTGTATAATTCTTTGTAAGGTTATATTTTGTATGTGAAAAGTACTAGGAAAATAAAGGGCAAAGGGGTTCTGTGAGTTTTTCTCTTCATAGGAGGGACATACCTCTTACTGTAACAGGGCTCTGGGGTTGGGGTAATGTGGAGGGAAAAGGCAAGGGGGAAGAAATGATAAGCAAAGTATCCCTGAAACACCAAATAATAAAAATAATAGGCCCTGAACCCCTGCATGTGGACTGTGAACCCCTGCATGTGGAGAGCCTTGAGGCTCTCCAGTCCCCTTTCATGGCTAGACATTATCCGTCTGAACTGAGGAAAACATCCCACAGATTTGCTTCTTCCCAGCCTGCTACCTTTCTCCTCTCACCTTCTGCCACCTTGGGATGGGTAGGGGCGATGACCGCGTTACCAGGTCTGGGGCAGTCTGAGGATGGAGGAGGTATGATGGTGTCAGGAATGGGTGGGTGGTTCCGGGAGATGAAAGTCTCAGGGTCTGGGTAGGCTGGGGTGCTGTTCAACAGCCCAGACCCTGCCAACTTCCCTGGGGATCATCTGGTACAGAAGCAAGGGGTCTCCAGGCCCTAGCCTGTGGCCTATTTTTGCAGCCACTCCATAGATGCTGGGAAGAGCAGGGAATAAGGAGCTGTGTGACAGTGAGAAGTGATAAGTAAACTGTCCCAGAAACACTGAATAATAAAAATAGCCAGGAGTCATATTTTTCTTCAGTCTTTGACCTGGCAGTGATGTTATGTCATTTATCAGAGAGCTGGTTCCCGTTTTTTTTCAAACAGGAGGGGAACACCCATAGCAAGCAGCAGCGTGTTCTCTGTCCCTGTCTTTGCTGCTCTGTGGGGTCTGATGTTTTTTTCCCTCTTGTGACTTTATTTGCTCTGGCTTTCTGTCCAAATCTCAGGCATAATTACAGCAAATCCATCACCTGAGTGACCATTGTAGGTTTTTTATTTGGAAATGGCCAGGAAAGCCACCCCTTCCAGGAGCACATTTTAGCCTGGGGGACAGACTATGGTATTGGAAGGAAGCACCCAGTGGACAGAGCCCAGAGGTACGGTCCCTATAATGAACTTGATTCCAGTGGCTGGTGATGGTTACCCCAACTTGCATTAGGGCCATAGACCTTGACCTCATTCGAACTGTGTGTTGGGTGGGTGTACCTGGGACCTAAAATGATCTATTCCCTGACACCATGTTTAGGAATAGAGCTCTTCCCAGGTCAGGTCAGTACCACCTTCGCCCCAGGAGGCAGAAAGCAGAAAGAAAAAGCATCCCATCTGGTGCTAGGGCTAGTTTCAGTCCTGAAGCAAGTGGGCTTTTAATCCGCCCAGGCAGGAGTTTAACCTGGCCTCTGTCTCCCCCTGGCGGCAGAGAACTTGCCCAGCATTCCAGGACTCCCCAGCCTCTGCGCAAAGAGGAGAAAGGCAGAGGTTCAGGAACCCCATCCCTCTCACGGCTGTCATCTTCTTCCTAACTCTCCCTCCCTGATTCAGAGAAATCAACTTGATTCTCAAGTCAGAACCGGATTCTGGTATCAGGAGATTGACGTGGTTATGAATCTCTCAATGGCCGTATGATCTCTTGGGGCACGTCATATTAAACGACAGGTGCATCCAGTTCCCTCTCATTTGTAAAATGGGCGTGATAAACGGGTGTATAGAATGTGCTTTGTAAAAGGTCCACTGCCCAGGAGATCTTCTATAAATGGTATTTATTTATTATATTACGTTGTTATCCTTATTAACTGATGAGAAGTCTAAATCTGGGTGTACGGGGAAGGTTCTGAGAAAGTAAGTGGGGTATGAGTGACAACCGCTCTCCCACACGTGGCAGTGGCCTCAGAGTTAACAGTACCGTCAAGAGCCCAGGAATTTACCCGGGCTCTCTGATCCAAGGTGATGGGCTGTGACCTGCATGGTTACCAGGGCCTCCACTCTGCACCAGCTCGCTGCTCTCGCTCTCACTCCAGCAGCTCCAGAGGTGTTGTCACACCAGCTGTTTCACACCCAGCGGCCCCGAAACGGCTGTTTCGCTCTGAGGTCATCACCTTCGTTGCCCTGAAGGCAGCCTGACCACCCTGAACCGGGCGCGGGGAGACCGCCTCCCCCACCCTCGTCACAATAGGGACGGTCTAGTTGCTGTCTCTCCTACAGCACGACTGAAGTAAAAATTTCCTTCTCTCAGACCTTTCCCACTACAAACCCTTCTCCCTCGGAGAAACTTCGGCAGGACGAAGCCGGAATGAGGTGGAGAAGAGACCGGGAGCCCGTGGGGCGGTTCCCGGGGTGGCCGAGAGCTAGGGGAAGTTCTGCCCCACACCGCCCCAACCCGGCGGGGAGCCAATGGCCTCAAAGGACCAACGGGGGGTAAGTACCGCCCACGCCGAGCCCTAGGGGCAGGGCCTGAGAGGGGCGGGGCCAGGCCGGGGGCGGGGCCAGGCCGAGGGCGGGGCAGGGAAGCAGCATGCTAAACCGGGTGCGCTCGGCGGTGGCGCACCTGGTGAGCTCCGGGGGTGCTTCACCTCCGCGCCCCAAATCCCCAGACCTGCCCAGCACGACCTCGGCGCCACTGGCCGCCGCTCCAGAGACGCCCAAGAGCCCTCCAGCGAGGCCAGGGAGCGAGAGCGGGGCGTCCGCGAAGACCGTAGAGACTCGAGCGAGCTTCTCCAGACCGACCTTTCTGCAGCTGAGTCCCGGGGGACTGCGACGCGCCGACGACCACGCGGGCCGGGCTGTGCAAAGCCCTCCGGACAGGGGCCGCCGCCTGCCCTGGAGCACTGGCTACGCCGAGTGAGCGCCCCCCCCGGGGCACCCAAACCTGGATGGGACTACCACCTCTCCCCAACTCTGCATCCCCGCTCCAGGGATGCGCCCCCCGTGCGGCGCTCGGAGCCAGGAACCCCCCTTTCCCGGGACCTTTGCTATCCTCTGGGCTTCGGGCCCTGTCTCCAATCGGGTGCAGCCTGAATCACCTTCCTCAGGACCTTGTAACTCGTTGATCACCCTCACTCTCTCGCCTCAAAACCCCTGTTGTCTCCCAGAGCTGGGGGGTGGGGTGGGTGGGGGGCTCTGCCAAGGATGAGTTGGCCGGTTCCTAATCGTGGCTGGGCAGTTTAGAGGCTAAGGAACTGCGGGGTGGGGGCGGTTGTTCAAAAAGGAGTGGAGTTCCTTCTAACGGGAGATAGCGGTTGGAAAGACTATCAGCAGCTTCCCAGCCCTAGAGCCCCAGTTCCCTGTCCCTCTTACCGTTCCCCTCCCCCTCCACACCCAGAAATAGCCCGACACCAGAAGGCCGCCGGCCTCCCAGGGTGGGGGAGGGGGCAGCCCACGGCCGTGGGAGGGTACCCTTTGGACTGCGTTCTCCGGGTGGACCTACTAGTGCTGCAGATCAAGGAAATACACCCCTTGATCAGGACGGCGGGCATGCTCCTAGGCTACGTGTATTTTTAATGCATCTACCAGAAAACCTAACCCTGAGGGAGATGGGGACACTGAGATCGCTGAGAAAGGTGGCTGGTGGTCCCATGGCCCCGCCACCACCTCTTTTAACTTCCTACAAGGGAGAAGTTTGTGGTTAAGTGGCTCCTTCCCAGTCCAGGTGGGCCTATACTCTTACTCTACTTTCAATTCCTCTTTCCGGATCTGGGCTGAAGCACTTCCTCACTGCCAAACAGTCAGAAACTTTTGCTGGGTAGTTTTAGGGTGAAGGTGGGTGTGCCCATGAGTTGTGGGGTGCTGGGGACAAAGTACTGGGAGAACTGATTGAGGTTGGAGGTGGAATGTAGGGTCTTGGCGAGCAGGGAAGTAAAGCTTCTTACCCTCATCTTGCCTCTTCCAGCAGAACCCCTGAGGGAGCCTCTTTTGCCAAGTAAGGGGGGAACTGAGGCAGGCAGGTGCTACTGTCTACCTTTCTATGAAGTAGGGCCTGCCACCCAGACAGTACTCCTCGTCAGCTCTCCCGGCTTCTTTTCTCTCTGGCCTGGATCCCAGGTGGCTGTGACCTTTCTCAGCTTGGCCAGCCGACAGGGGAGGATGTGTATGTGTCTAAGGTGGGGGTTATTCCAGGACCTGGTCTGGTGTCCAACCTGATGTGGTCACTCTGGCCTGGCAGGGTCATCAACGCTGGCAAGAGCCGGCACAATGAGGACCAGGCTTGCTGTGAAGTGGTGTATGTGGAAGGACGGAGGAGTGTTACAGGGGCCCCTAGGGAGCCTAGCCAAAGCCAGGTAAGACCTCACCCCCTCTCCTAGCCTCCAGAGACACAGACACACATCCTGAGGGATGTCAGGCATCTGGTTTTATATCTGAGACGTGGAAGAACTGTCTTCTAACTCACTAGTTTTCTGTGTTTGCCACAGAACCCTTGTGTGGCATTGATTCATTAAATCGTGCCATGTCAGATGAATGTTTACTTTTCTACTTCAAATGTAGATGTTTGTGTAATTAAATTATAGATAATTTAACTATTCACTGATGCTGATTTTTGCATCTTTTATCCTCAGAATTTGGCTTTTTTGAGGCTCTCCTTTCTTTTGACACATAGTGTGCCCTGGGTGAATAAGTGAATAAATCTAATTTGCCTGTAATGCCAACCTCTCTGATATTTATTGGATGCCTACAGTCTTGTTCTTCTCCCTATACCACACACACACACACACACACACACACACAGATTTACTCACCTTCAACTTTTCCTCCACCAGGGACTCTGCTTCTATTATTGGGGCCTGTTTGATGGGCATGCCGGTGGTGGAGCTGCCGAAATGGCCTCACGGCTCCTGCATCGCCACATCCGGGAGCAACTAAAGGACCTAGTAGAAATACTTCAAGACCCCTCACCACCTCCCCTCTGCCTCCCAGGCACCTCAGGGACCCCAGGTTGCTCTGATTCTACTCACTTGATTGGTCCTCAGTCCTGCTGGTCTTCACAGAAGGAAGTGACCCATGAAAGCCTGGTAGTAGGGGCCATTGAGAATGCCTTCCAGCTCATGGTGAGTGGGTGGCCTGGGCCAAAGGCTGGCTAGGCAGACACTCTGGCCAACTCTGACCAGATAATTTAACTATTCACTGATGCTGATTTTTGCAGTCAGGTGGCCTCAGGGACTGACCCTGAGAACCCACAACACCACTGAGAGCCAGAGCAGAGTTTGGTTCTGAGGGGAGGCAGAAGGGATAGTTACCCCCATGTGTTTCACTATTTTCCAGTTGTGGTCTGGCTATGCCAGATGATTTCTGCAGATGGGAGTGGGGAGGGCGACTCGGTGTCTGCAAACTCTTCTTTTACTCTCCTCCCTCACTTGGCAGGATGAGCAGATGGCTCGGGAGCGGGAGCGTCGTGGCCACCAAGTGGAGGGGGGCTGCTGTGCACTGGTTGTGGTGTACCTGCTAGGCAAGGTGTATGTGGCCAATGCAGGTGACAGCAGGTATGGAGGAGAAGGGCTTTAAAAGTGGCTACAAGGGGCCATACTCTCTAGGATGGGGGGATAAAAGAGTGAGGTGGTGGGGTTCAAAGTCAAATATTGGACTTGGCATGGTGTCACATGCCTGTAATCCCAGAAAGTCAGGAGGCTGAGGCAGGAGGATCACAAGCTCAAGATCAACCTCAGTAATTTAGTGAGACCCTATAATAAATTGGGTCTCAAAATAAAATCAAAAGGGCTGGGGATGTAGCTCAGTGGTAAAGCTGCCCTGGGTTCAATCCCCAGTACTGTAAAAAAAATAAAATTAAATTTAAAGAAACCCCAAAGGTTGAAGGAGCTTGGAGGACCATAGATATAAAGAAAGGCCTGATATATCCACAAGGAGAGGAAAGATGGAGTCCTGGGTAAGGAATCCTAAGTGGAAGGCCTGGTCCCTCTGGAATTATCCATGAAGGGAGCTGAGAGCCAGGCCTTTTCTGTCTCTGGGCAGGGCCATCATTGTCCGGAATGGTGAAATCATTCCAATGTCCCGGGAGTTTACCCCGGAGACTGAGCGCCAGCGTCTTCAGCTGCTTGTAAGTAGGAACCAAACTTCCTACCCCCATTGTTTACTGGTTCTTGTGCCTCTCTGCACTCTTGTCCCTGAGAACCACCGCCCCCCTCTGTCTCTCTCTCTCTCTCTCTCTCTCTCACACACACACACACACACACCACCACCACCACCACCACCACCACCACCAAACACAGAACACTCCCTACTAGGAGCTTCCTGGGAAGGCGGCTGTGTGGGCTGTTAAGTGCAGGGCTGAGCCCAGGGGATAATGCTACAGGAAGGAGCCTGAGCTGGCTTGGAGCACCCACTGTGGCCCCAGCTGAGGAAGGAAGTAAAATCAGAGGTGGGGGGAGGGAACAGAAAAGGCCCCTGGGCTCTGGAACTGGACTGCCTGGATACTGAATCCTGGTTTGTTGTTCTCTGCTAATAATGTGACCTTTGACAATTCCTTAACCTCTCTGTGCCCCATGGGTTGTTTTGAAGAGTTAACTGAGTTAATGTGTGTAGCATGTGGACCTTTACTTAAAGGTCTGCTATAATAAATATCATCTAGCCAGATACAGTGTGGCACACCTGTAATTCCTGCAACTCGGGAGCTCGAGGCAGGAGGAGCATAAGTTCAATGACAGCCTCAAAAAATTAGCAAGACCCTGTCTCAGAATAAAAATTACAAAGGGCTGGGGATGTAGCTCAGTGGTAAAGCACCCCTGGGTTTAACCCCCAATACTGCAAAAGAAGAAAAAAAAATTAACATCATCTATGTATTGTACCAGGGTACGATGTGAGTGTAACACCCTCTGGCCCTTTGCTCTGTCTGGCCATTCTCAACCCCAGGGCTTCCTGAAACCAGAGCTGCTGGGTGGTGAATTCACCCACCTTGAGTTCCCCCGCAGAGTTCAGCCCAAGGAGCTGGGGCAGAGGATGCTGTACCGGGACCAGAACATGACTGGCTGGTAACACTTCCCTCAGAGCTGGGTCGTTCCCATGGCAACCCGACCAGTCCCTCACCAGTAGCCAGGTGGAAGCTGAAGGCTGGGCCAGGCTGGGAGTTGGGGGATGGGGCCCTTCTAAGGGGTTTGCGTGCGGGTGTCCAGCTCCTAGAAGAGAGGGGGCTTTGATGCTTAGGTGATGCCTCTACTCCCCCCCTCCCCAGGGCCTACAAAAAGATCGAGCTGGAGGACCTCAGGTTTCCTCTGGTCTGTGGGGAGGGCAAAAAGGTAAACTCCCCGGTAGAGGTGGGAGAGGGCAGGAGGACCCACCACAATTTGTCTAGGGAGGTGGAGGTTCTACCTGAGGGTAGGGGTGGGAGGGCTGTGTGGTTTCAGAGAGCCTGGCAGAGGACTAAACAGCCGTCCCCCTCCATGTTTCCCTCAGGCCCGAGTGATGGCCACGATTGGGGTAACCCGGGGATTGGGAGACCACAACCTCAAGGTCTGCAGTTCTACCCTGCCCATCAAGCCTTTCCTCTCCTGCTTCCCTGAGGTGAGCTGATGGGGGCCCCCTTAACTATACCTTCCCTTCTCTGTGGGTCTCAGGCTGGCTTTCATCCAGGGCCCCTTTATCCCCAAGCTCCCTGTCCAGCACACCCCACACCTCAATCCTCCCTATACTCTTTCCCCACCAGGTTCGAGTGTATGACCTGACACAGTATGAGCACTGCCCAGACGATGTGCTAGTCCTGGGAACAGATGGCCTGTGGGATGTCACCAATGACTGTGAGGTAGCTGCCACTGTGGACAGGGTGCTGTCGGCCTATGAACCCAATGACCCCAGCAGGTAGGGTTTGAATGGCATGATGGTAAGGGGATGGCACTGGCAAAGGAAAGGGCAAAGGGAAGCCATGCTTGGGGACCCACATGTGGGCCTCTGTGTCTATCTTCCCATATACATGAATGTGCACATGTGCTCCTGGCAGGTATACAGCTCTGGCCCAAGCTCTGGTCCTGGGGGCCCGGGGCACCCCCCGGGACCGTGGCTGGCGTCTCCCTAACAACAAGCTGGGTTCCGGGGATGACATCTCGGTCTTCGTCATCCCATTAGGAGGGCCAGGCAGTTACTCCTGAGGGGCTCAGTCCATCCCTCCCACCACCATCCAGCCTCTCCATGCTTACCCCTCTCTCAGCCCAAATTCTGCAGTTGTCTCCCTGAGCCTTTAGTGGCAGTTTAACCCAAAAAGGGATATCCACTAGACCCAGAATTACGGCTCTTGGCAAATAAACCCGGTGGATAAAGGTGTGTGTCTTTATTTGCTTTGATTAGAAACTAAAAGTTAAGGAAAAGTTCTGTGCGGTGGTAGAAAGGACATCAGGACAGTTCAAAAATGAATTTTTTTTCCCCAGGTTCTTCTTTCTGCCCTCTCCTCTCCTCAATCCACTCACTTTCCCTGAGTGTTCTCAGACACTTCTGTAGCTTCATCCATCTGCTGATGTTTCTTCCAAGTTGGTGTCTCTTCCCAGATCTTTCCTGAGCTTTAGATTCATACATACCCGTCATCTCCCAAACATTTCCGTGAAATCCCACTGGCACTTCACCTCAACACACCTCAATCCACTATTTTCCCCATAGCATGTTTCTTCTCCTACTTTGTCTTCTCAAAGGGCATCAGCTTGGCTGCTCAAATTAGAAATCTTGGAGTTGGTAACCCTTTAATTTCCTCTTCATCATGCTAATCAATCACTAAGTACCATCATGTGCTATATGATGACAATGAGCTGCATTTATGATGGTATACACCATATAACGTTGGTGTGTAGTAGGCTATGCCTTCTCAGTTTATGTAAGTACACTCTATGATGTTTACACAACAATAAAATTGCCTAATGATGCATTTCTTATATCCCCATCATTAAATGATGCATGACTGTATTGTTGAATATATACATTTATGTATCTGTGTGTGTGTGTGTGCACCTTTTCCCACTTATCTTCACTCCCACTGTCACCTCCTTAGTTATTCATTATATTAGTTTCCTAACTCCAGCAGCTTCTTGCTGCATCTGAGCAAAATTCACAGTCAACTCCTGGGCATGGCATATAGGAACTTCATGGTCTGCCTCCTGTTTCCTTCTCCAGCCTCAGCTTCCATCACCATCACTGTCTTCTGGGGAGTTCCCATGACTCTGTGGGCCTGTAGTAGCTTCAACTTGTTATTTAAAATATACACATCAACCTAATTTGAATACTTCATCTGTTCTTCAGGGCTGGGCATCCCACAGCTAATGTATTCTCTCCACCCCCCAACAGCAAATGCCTCCTGTATGGCTGCCTGCAAGAGTTGTCCATAGGGGAATGGCAATTAAGAGCAAGGTCTCTAGAGTCCATTGGTTTGAATTCTAGGACCAGACCCAACACCAACTCTGTAATCTCTGAGTCCCCATTTGTTTTCTCAGTAAAATGGAGATAACACTATTAGGCCATCAGGTTATTGTGAGGACTGAAATCGTTAATGAGTCAGGTTCCATAAGCGTTAGATATCTTGAGATTGTCTGTATTCCTCATTTAGACTGTAAATTATTTGAAGGCATAAATCAGTCTTCAGCACATAGCTCTCACTTCACACTGAGTGAACTATTGAGTGGATTAAGAGGCCTGGGGACCAAACTGCTCTTGAACTCAGTTTGCTCATTTACTAAATGTGTTGGCTGTACTTCAGATCTTTAAAGTCTGTAAGATTTCTAACATGCATCCATTCGGCAAATATTTCTGGAAAACGGATCATGTCCCACACACTGTGCTAGACGAGGGGAGGGGAAGACTGGAGGAGCAAGGTAGGCATCAGAAGACAGCACCAGCAATGGAGTCACACAGGCCTGACTGTATGAATTCTTGCTGTCAGAAATCTCAAACATTTGCTAAACTGCGTCTTCAAACCTCAGTTTCCTTTCAGGCAAAAGGAGATGGGTATACTTCCCCCGAAGGGATTGTGACAAGTATTTAAAAGGTTGAGTTATGTAGAAGCCTAGAATACAAGTCAATAAAATGTTGATAGATTTCCTCCTTCTTTGTCCACCTCCTCAGACATTTTTACAAGGAAGATCTACATGTAGGTAAATACGGTATGTAACACATCAGCGGGGCTAAGTGTCACTAACGGCACAATAATACAATAAGAGTGGGAACTGTATTCCTGGTTGGGGATCCAGAAGCACTTCCAAGAGTACCCTTGGAGAAGTAGATAGGAATTGGACTTAGGGAAATTCCAGGTAGTGGAAGGAAGGGAATCCGAGGCAGAACGGTGGTCTGGGTCTGCAGGTCCCAGAAGGTCCTGGAGGGCCTTCAGATTAGGGATGAAGTCGGGCTGGGCTTGCTCCGCAAGGATTCTAGTGGCAGAGAGTGGTCTTCTGCACACACCACGTCCCACTCCCTCGCCCGCGCGGGCACCCCGGTTTCCCAGTCCTGCCTCCCGCGAGCGCCCAGGTGGGGCAGGAGCGGGTGCTGCTTGGCCGCGGGAGGGCAGCAGCGGCCCTTCCTGACGCCACCCCGAGCGCCTCTCAACTTTCTCGACGCCGATCTGCGCCTAGGGGCTGCAAGGCGGGGCAGAGGCCGAGTCCTCCGAGGTCCGACCCGCTCCGGTCACCGCCCACTCCTCTGCAGTCCTGGCAGCTCCCGGCGACCCTCCTTCCAGCCTCTCCCCCAGCCCGGGGCAGGCGCCCCCAACCCGCGCGCCGCAGCGGAGGCGACCTGTGGCCGCCCGGGGCTGGGGCCGGAGGCGGGCCGAGCCTAGGGCCGCCCCCGGGCCGACCCTCCCCCTGCCGGGCCCGCCCTCCCCGCCGCGGCGCTGAAGGAGGGCGGGGCGGGGCCGGCCCCTCGGGTCAGTCTCAGCCTCCGGCACCGGCCGCGCAGCTGGAAGCGGCGGAGCGGAAGGTACGGGGGTCCGGGCAGGGGGAGAAGGGCGTCCCGGGAACGAGTTCCCGGGAGAACACTTTCCTCCTCTCCACTCGCCGGGAGCTCGGGCGGGGCCGGCGAGGGGGCTGGGGCCGGAGTGCGGGCCGCGGTCCCTCCCCTTGGACGCGGCGTCCGGGCTGCGCTGGGGTCCGGCCTGCTCGGCTCCTCCCCGGACTGCAGCGAGGGGCCCCCGGAGCGGCCTGGCAGGGCTCTCTCCTGCCGAGGTCCTGATCCGAGCCCTTTCCCTTCCCTCCCGGCTTCCCCGAGCCTCCCCCGCGGAACAAGGGGGCGGCCTTGATCTCCCTCCGCGAGGGAACCCAGCCCGGACGCCCTGGCTAGCCCCAGGCTGGACGGCCCAGCGCGGACCTGGCCTGGGGTGCTGGGGATGGGCTGGGAGTTCTCCCAGGCCCGGACGGTGGAATGGCGGGAATAAGGGCGCGGTGTGACCCTTGGGGGCTGCCACTGCTCGGCGGAGGTTGGACGCCGCCCTCGACAGCCCTTGCAACCTCCCTGGGGCATGGGGTAGGGAAGACCGGGAAGGATCCAGCCCGTGTGTGTTCGTGTGTTCGTTCATGCGAGTGTGTGAAGGAATCTACCCTCCACACTCCGCAGCCAGGCTAAAGATTTATCTTAGGGGTGTCGGCTGGGGGAGCCCGGGGCACAGAGTTCTCTCAGTTCTGGCTTTAAAGTTGAGGAAGAGGTGTCACCTGAAGAGTGAGTCTTTCCCAAACTTCAGGGGAAGTGAGCCGGGTAGGAGGCCACTGGATCTTGGGGAAAATCAAGAGAATGAGCGAGGAGAGGGCTACGTATCCACATATCTTGTCTCAGGGGAGGCGCCAGAAGTTCCAGGCTCCGTTCCAGCTCCACTTCAGTCTCTGCGTGGGGTTTGGTTGCCCCTTTTAGGGTCAGTGGGGCAGTTCCTCTGGGGCTGCCTCTCACAGGGAGCTGTTGTCCGTGCCATCTTGGCCTTGGGCCTTGTGTCCTGGCCTGGCCTGGGCTGCTTGCTCTTCTGGCCCAACCAGAGCCTGGAGGGAAAGTCTTCTGAGCTGGGGGTTCCAGGTCACTTAATTCATGTCCTTGTCCTGGAGTTCTGGCCTCTGCCTCCCACCATCTGGTGCCAGTTGCCTGGTAGATGGGTAGTGATTGCTCTCCATCCGCACTGCCCGGGTTGGAGTTACCCCAGCCCCTGTTTACACAGCTGAATGAGTTGAACTAATGGGAGTAGGTGGGGGAGTTGGAAGAAATCCTAGTGTCAGTCACCTGGGTAGACTTCAAGGAACCCCTGTTTGGAAGGGATGTGTTGGCAGGGCACATCTTCCCTGTCATTTGGGGTATCAGGAAGAGCCCCTTTGTGATCTGGAGAGTGGCTCCTATAAATTCTCAGTGACTCATGTCCTCTTCCCCCACATCCCAGTTTTCTGAATGTGTAAGTGAGGAGAGGGAGGGGCCGCCTAGCATCCCACTGTTGAAGAGAAACAGCCTGGGGCTGGAGTATTCTGCTTCCTAAAAAGCAGACCCAGGCTATAGAGCGAGGTGGTGGAATGCAGGGACTAGAAGAGCTCAGCCCAGCATGACAGGATGTGGGACTGAGGAAAAACTAGGTTTGAGGCGGAGATCAGGTTACCTAGCATACCCTGTGCTCCCTGCCTAGTTGGTGCAGGGACTGGTCCTCATTTGTCATTTCTTTTGGGGCTCCTCCCAGCCCAGGCTCTAGCTCCCTCCCTCTTCCCAACAGCCTAGATTTCATTTCAGCTCCAGAGCCCACCCTCTCTTTCTCCCTGACTGCAGGCCTGGGAATCTAGCTGGGTGGAGTTTGGCTCCCCTCCCCGGGGGAAGGAGGAAGTGAGCGGAGCTGTGAAGGTGTGATGAACTGCAGGTGTGATGAACTGCTCGTTCATGTGTATTGGTGACGAGGGACACATGCTAACCCTGGGAAGCTGACTCCTTGCCCTGAGTCACAGGGAGGGGTGGGCAGGGCATAAAAGTGAGCTGGACAGAGGGAGGAAGGGGCTGTTCCAGAGTGGGTGGAGGTGATTCCCTAGTGGATTATTCTGTCGCTCTGCTGTGGTGGATGCGTGACTCCCTACAGTGTAGTCATTGTCCCCTACTGGGGGCTGAGTAACCTAGTGTTGCCACCAGGCCCGGGAGGAAGGGGGGAGGAAGGCAGGCTGCCCAAATGTGAGCTGTGGGCACTGCCTGGACTGAGCCTCCTTTGTGTGACTCCGGGCTTTGGGGACCGGGTGGGGTGGGTCAGAGAAGCTGCTGGCTGGTGCCACTGTCCTCTGTCTGGGTTTTCCTCCTCCTGCTCTCCTTTCCACCTCTGAGGTGACATGTAGAAAGGCAGAGA